CCCCAAAACCCCAAAACCCCAAAACCCCAGAAGTTTTATAAATAAATATTAAGTTTTAATTTAAAATTTGAAATTAAATTTAGAATAAGATAAGTTTATAAAATGGGAGAAATAGTCATGAACATCTATTATGAGTTCAAGCTCAGACAAGTATTCCACGAGGCAGCTGATAACAGAGACGATGTGATTCCAGATGCTTAGACTTGGAATTACCTTATTGCTCTAATGCTTAGAAAGAGGCTGGCTTCTTTAAAGGATACGGAACAGCTTGAAAAGTACAGACCCTCTTTCCCTTTGGACTTTGATACTTTCATTTAAACAATAACCCAAGCATTTGGTGATTTCACACTCAAGAGACTTGAAGTGGCCATTGATGACAGCAAGGAATAGCTAGAGAACTGCAGGACTCTAATCAACATGATGAACATTAAGTTCCTTTCCAAGGATGAATTGTATCAACTGGCAAACATTATCTATCAATGCAATAAAAAGTCTCAAGATGCTGAGAAATCACTTGGCAAAATCTTAAAAGACATTCATGGTTACTCGGAGGATGTGTTTGGCTTTGTGTGGGACAAGATCTATGGTCAGTCTGACTACACTCAAATCAAACTACCACACACATACATTAAACAAGAAAAGGCAGCATTAGAAAAGGAGTTTATACAAAGACGAGTGAGGAATGTCCACTATCGTAAGTAAGCCATTAAGGTCTTGAAGATCTATGAGACCGGCATCATCAAAGAGATTGCTTATTGTGCTGATAAAGACTTCCCAGTTGAAAATTATAAGATACCAAAAGAGTTCCCCTTCTTTGAAGAGCTGTCATAGTTCTTCAATTAGATAGGAGCAACAAAGGAGCTCTTGTTTTCAAAGTATTTGCCAAGCTACCTTGGATTTGATGATCTGTCAGACGACAACTACAACCAGTACTTCTTTGAAATCAAGAAAGGAAGGAAGCTGAAGAAACTGCTGAATGAGACTGGGAGAACTTTGATGGGATTTGAGCCTTTGTTTAAGTACTGGGCCAAAGAGTTGCTATATGCTTTCAGAGATTTAACTTATAGAAGTACGTATAATCTAGCAGAGGACATCACTCTTAAGAATATTTTTGTTAGTGATGTGGGTATCAAGCTATATCTGAAAAAGATAAAGTTCGGTGACTAAAGAGATGACACTATTGACTATCATTTGCAAATTGAATCACAACACCTGAAGATATATGCTAAGTTGCTAGTTGAAATGCTAACCAATAGAGAGGACTACTAGGAATTCGACAACTTGGATATTGACCCAGAACTCAAATGCATTCTATATGAGTGCTATCATGCCAAAGAAAAGACCGATATCAGAGAATAGGACAGATATGAAAATGAGATAAACAGGTTCATTTAGAAAGAACAAGAAAAATCGTACAAATAAGAAAAGCTTAATAAAGATAGAGAAGAATTTACTATAAAAGCAGAAAAAGAGAAATAGCTGTAAGAGTAAGAAGAAGAAATGAAAGCTTCCTTGGCAAAGGCAGTACAGAGGACCATCAAGCGTAAACCAGATATCCCAGTTGCAAATAAGCGTAACTTCGAGGACGAAAACATTAGGATGGGTGTTCAAAACGAGCTAGACCTGCTAATGGGAGAAACTTAGGACAAAAAAGACATGGCTAGAACAAAGAAGGATAAAGGACTCATTTAGTACACTTAGACGAAGGGAGAAGTAAAGAAGTAAAAGCAAGAAAGATACCTGACTATTTAGGGTCTTCTAAATCACCCATACTTTATTTCCATTAATGAGGCGGATATTGCTATAATCATTGATGAATTTGAGAAATTGCTATAACCTTAATGATTAATTTAGTAATATTATTCTGTTCATAATTTATAAATCTACTGACGGGGTTTTGGGGTTTTGGGGTTTTGGGG